TCTTTTCTATCTCTCAAATCACTTTAGTTGACAAAGAAATACTGGTTTCAGAATGAATTTGTATAGGTAATAGTGTCATTACGTTGGTTGACAAGCGGCCTAAAAACCGTCTGCAATTGATTTTAATCATTCATAAAAAGTACCTAGAAAGTTAAAACGTGAGGTATTTGGTTACAGGTAAACTGAACAATGGAACTTTCATTCATTTAATGTCTGAGTTTTCTCAAACAATTTGTTCGTAGTGAAAGAGCGAGCGAAGTTTAAATTTCAGTTCGACAATAAATATACGCTCTCTGTGAGTCTTTCAAAGTCCGTTAAATTTGGACATTTGGACCATAAATTGCACAACAGAAACTGAAGGAATTTATTGAGAAAAGGCCGCATTAAATCCCCTTGTGTCTTGTTGCAGTGTGCCGTTCGAATTTAGTTTTTGTGGAGGAAAGACCAGATTTTAATACGCCGTTGCAGCAAACAAACAAGCAAACTCTCACAACTTCAAAATGAAAAATTGGAATTTACTCACAATTACTTTCCTGGCCGTTTACTTAGTGAACAAAGGTAAATCTTCGTACATGAATGAATCGTCGATGAGAGCAAATAATACTTTCCGTTATATCATTGATTGTTTTTGAAGAAAACATTGTCGCGACAGTCCTTGCCAAACTAGTTCCGTTGTTTTTCAAATCTTCTTGCGCTTTTTTTTTCTTACGCGCTCTCTAATTGACAGGTGTCAGATTGTGACAGATACTTGTAAAAATGATGTTTCAAACTTTGTTTGGAAGCCTTTTAAATCACCTTTATCATTACGCAGGTGAAAATGTTTCAGTGAAGCATCTTTCTTTAATTTGTGTCACCTCTACTTTAACTACCACTTACTTGCTCAAAATTTGTTCAGTTTATGGAAGATCTTGCCGTATTTATAGCCCTAAATCATTCGGTTTCTTTCAGAATGTATTTGGTTAAGTTTAAAAAAAAAAAAATGTTATTTACCGGCTGAGGGTCGGTCCGTATGGTGAAAAACTGTGACCTCGACCTTGAAAATGCTGCCCTTGGCTTACGGCCTCGGGCAGCATTTCAAGACCTCGGTCACAGTTTTTCACCATATGGACCGACCCTTAGCCAGCAAATAACTTCTAGGAACTTTGAAAACGCTATTGTTTTCAAAGTGAAGATAGTGAAAATGCCCAAGGTTGAGATTGCGCCTTATAACCGGGTATTTAGGCGAAATTTTCGGTTGAACAACTTGAATGAAACGAGTTCAAAAATTCAGGGTGCGTCTTATAACCGACTGTGCCTCCTTACGGAGAAAATACTTTATGTCTAAGAGGGATTTTGTCATCCATGTGGGAGTCTTTTCCAGACAAAGTGCATGTGCAGAAAATGTAAGTATGATTTAAAAGATCTTATTCGTAAAAAACCGTACGCTTTCCAATTGAAGGAAAATTGGTACCAGTCCATCAAACGGGAGGTGTGAATCACCTGCTGGCAGCAGGGCGTTTCTTTCTCATAGGAAATTACACAAATAGTACGGGCTCGATCTTCGGTTCCTGAAAGAAATAAAGTGAGACTTAGGTCTTTCCATACTTCACTAATTGACAATTATGAAAACAGAAAAAGATTCCGTGAGGTGCTTGCGATCCAATCATTTTGCAAAGAAATTAATATATATATATCAGTATTTCCAAAAAGTCAGGGAAGGACGTTGCAACATCAACGAAATGTGATTGAATCCTTCGTCAACGAAATGTTCTTTTACATTCAGTCAAAGTCCAAAAGGGCCTTTTTCGTGAGCTTTTGTGAATATCACACTGTGTGTGTGGAAATGTCTGTTAGGTCCCAAAGGCCTTTTTCTCAAGCGTTTTGTGAATATCACTCCGGGTGTGGATGGGTGAATGTGTATGTGTGTGAGCGTCTGTTTGGTCCCAAAGGGTCTTTTCTGCTTGAGCGTCAGTCACATTCGGGCTCTTTGCCTGATCGAAGGTCCATGCTGTTAAAAGGTAAGTTTCTTTGAATACACTTTACAATGAAGGAAAGAACAACGCTGCTTAATCAATACAGCCTCTTTTGCTCAATTAAAGAAAAGGTCGATGCTATTCAAAGGTAAGGTTCTTTGAATACACTTTAAAATGAAGGAACGAACAACTCTGCTTAATCGATACAGCTTCTTTCGCTCAATTAAAGAAAGATTGCTCAGTTAGAGAAAGAGTCCATGCTATTCAAAGGTAAGTTAATGAAGAAAGGAACAGCGCATTACAGTATACAAACTAAGAAATATTTGAAATTGTAATAACAAAACTTGTTTTTTGGTGCTTTTTTACTTACTTCCAAATGATACACATACTATAAGATACTTGCCATCTGAAAGTTCACCGGTACCATTCATTTTCAGAATTCTTTTCTTCCACATTGCAACGAGTTGTAATGGAGGAAGGAACAAACAACTCTTTGCTAAATCAATACAGCCTCTTTTACTCAATTAAAGAAAGAATCTATGCTATTCAAAGGTAACAATATTGCCTCTTTTACTCAATTATGGAAAAGGTTCATGCTATTCAAAGGTAAGTTTTATTTTGATAAACAAACAAACAAAAAAAATGTAGGAAGCGTCAGTCACGTTCGGACTCTCTGCTTAATCAAAGGTCCATGCTATTCAAAGGTAACAATATTGCCTCTTTTACTCGATTAAAGAAAAGGTCCATGCTATTCAAAAGTAAGTTTTATTTTGATAAAGAAACGAACAAGAAAGCTGTATGAAGCGTCAGTCACGTTTGGACTCTGCTAAATATTTTGTTGTGCATAATATGACTGTTGATTAAATATCTGAGTGAGTGTGAGTGCATTTATGCCTGTGTATGTAAACCCCTCGCAACCATTTTTCCAAGTGAAAACATTTTCGCAATCCTATCCATACTTTCCCTACCTCGCTTAAACTTGCCCAACTAATACAAAAGAAACCCTCCATTCCCCTGAGTATTCACCTTTGATCTCCACAGAGAACATTACATTCTAAACACACGACTTATTTTGAACACGCGTGCTAGAGAACATCATCAAAAAGAAAATGTGTTGAAGAGTTGAGTGATGAAGAGTTATCAAAGGTTGTAGAAGACATTGAGTTGAAAATGGTTAATGAGATGAGTGATGAGGAATTGTTGAAGGCTGTGAAACGTATCAAATCACCACTCTTTGAATTCAAGTTCAGACCGTGGGGCCGTGAAAACGTTGGAAGAAAAATGTGGTAGCGAAACAACGGTTTACAGCACGCTTGAAAGAAAAACGCCAACCTTCACCAGATGATAATGTTAACGTTTCGATCACTCATGCATTAGAACGTGCAATAGCTCAGCAAATCCAAAACCAACCAGATACTCAGCCACATCACACACTTCATTTTAACATGCAGGCCGAAGGCTACACGCACCTATTCCAATCTACTACATTTTCCGTGAAAGAGCTTCAGCAAGACAGTAAATGAATGCAAACGTATTTGCAAAGTTTAGCAAATAAACTAAACTCTGGAGAAAAGTTTAACACCAACACCAATTTTGAAACCGAACTGACTTTGATCTGTACCCCACCCTCCGGTAGTGGCAGAGGAAAAAGAAAGATCCGTAGGAAGAAGAAATGTGGAAGCGTTTTTGAAAGCTAAACATAGTGTCATACAAATCAAGAATACAGACGAATTATGCTGCGCACAAGCAATCGTCACAATTAAAGCAGGTGACAATGTGGATGGAAGACACCTGTATGAAAATTTGCTTGATGGTTATCCTGTTCAAGGTGTTCAAGCCAAAGAACTCCTTCGCTTGGCTGGTGTTCCCGAAGGACCATGTGGATTACAAGAATTGGAAATGTGTCAGAAAGCTTTGAGTCCCGAGTACCAGACTGTTGTCTTAATTGTTGATAAACCACACATGAACACTTACAAAGGACAAGAAAATTCTACTCATTCAAGTCGATCAGCATTATCATGGCTGTACTTCGTATGGAGGATTTTTAAACAAATCCTATTTCTGTTTTGATTATGAAAAAGAATTTGATCATGACGACTTGGCACATCATCCCTGTCAAGGCCGAAAATGTACTGCCTATCATCAAAAAGATTGTCCAAATTGTGTGCCTGTAGTTTGTATTGGGAAAGACATCATCTGAGTGCTAATTGTATTGCTGTGGAGCCAGCAGGTGGATGGCGTGGTGCTCATAATAATTAATTGTCGAAAGCTCTGAAATGGTTGAAATGGGTGAAACATACACTTCGAGAAGAAGAATGCGACAGTGGTTTACCCACCAGAAGGGAAGATCGCGTGACACATGCAGGGAATTGCGGGGAACACACGATCGTGACACCCACGAGTGTGTGTTACGTGGATGGTTTCGACCCTGTGACCTAGACCGTGTACGAGTTTCTTGGCTGTGTATGGCATGGTTGTCCTTGCTGCCGTCTAAACCGCAGATTAGTTCCTAAAGTGCATCTAGACCATTCCATGGAAAAAGTTACACTCGATAGGTTTCACTGAGGTGAAAATGTGGGAATGTTTTTGGGATGACCTCTCCAAACACGACCCGCGATTGATACAGTTTCTTCACACCTTGGAAATTGTAGAACCCCTAGATCTGCGTCATGCATTTTACGGTGGAAGGACCGGCGCTACATGTTTGTACCACAAGACCAATGAAGCCCAAGGAGAAAAAGTACATTACATCGATGTCACTTCTGAATATCCGTGGGTGAACAAATAGAGAACTTATGCCATGGGACATCCACAGATTTTAACAAGTCCTCAGACCACTGATCTATCAGATTATTATGGCATCGCCAAAGTGGATATTGTACCACCAATAAACATGTAGTGGAATCAGTCACAGCGCCTCACGAATTGTTTGAATATTTATACAATTCATTGGTGGTCATTCATGCGATTCGCATCTTTTCAGAAGATGTCTTAGAAGTGGTGTTTAGCTACGTGGACGAAGACGCTTCGAAAGGTAAGTAAACCAATATTTTCATCGCCGCCTTTACGACCACTCAAGCCCGCTTGAAATTATACCGTTATCTAGATCCCTTGCGAGATCACGTCCTCTACTATGACATAGATTCTGTCATCTTCTCATGTAAACCTGGCCAAACCACGATCACATTAGGCGATTATCTTGGTGATATGACCAGTGAATTGAACGAGGATGATTACATAACTGACTTTGTATCGGGTAGTGCCAAAAATTACGGATATCTCACCAAACAAGGCAAGTCTTGCTGTAAAGTACGTCGATTTACTCTGAATTATCATGGAAGTCGGTACCTGAATTACGAAGCTATGAAACAAAACGTCTTGGAGGAAATCACAGATCCTTTGGATGAGGAATGAAGAACCGTACCTGTGACCAACCCTTGTTTCTTTGCTCGTTTCTTCATGCACACTGGTATTTTAGGGGTTCCAGGAGTGGGAATTTCCTTCTTGGGTGTCTTGAGGGGCGCAATGTCATCTTGTAGTTTCTTCTTCTGTTTCTTTGCCTTGCGTTTGAGTAAATTTTCCACAATTTCTTCTGTCATGGCACTTTCTTCAGACTCTAAATCTGCCAAATCGGCCGTGGGTTCACTTGGATTATCTCTTAATCGTTTCGTCAATTATCTACGTTCTTGTAACAATTCTCTAGTCTGTTGATTCGCTATAGCATCCGGCACCTTTGGATTGTTTACAATAATATGCTCTTTGGCAGCAACACGACCTGCTTTGTTTAGTAAGGCAGTGTCCGTAATTTGTCCTTTGTAATATTGAACGAGGTGTTGAAATTCTTCGGGCTTCACCATGAGGTATTCTTCAGCCATCTACGACGTCGCGTGGTTCTTGATAATAGTTTTCCAATGATACTTCGTACGCCTTTCTCCAGTACTCGATTTTGCGTTTACTCTCAAACAGCTGGCTTTTGCAAATGATAAATTCTATTTAAGTTAGATACATATGTGGACGACACAATATACTGGTGCATAATGATTTTGTTGTTTTAGGATTATATACGTTTCAGTATACCTCTCCTTCTTATTCAAGTGTGTACTGAAAATTAAACTTTCGTAACACAAAGTGTAAAGTTAATTGTACAAGTAATTTAACATACCAAGAAAGAAGCTCTGAACTGGACATATTTGGTATGATATAGTCTTTTATAGCCAAAGAAGTTACTTTTGACAATGTATTTGGCAAATTGCATTGTATGACATGTCAAATATAAGGTGGTATAATGAGGCAGTATACACAAAGTATATGGAACGATATACTGATATATAAAGCTTTAGATGGTTAAGGATATACTTGACATACTTGTCCTTATCCTTGCGTGTAATTAAAATTATACATGACCATACACAACGCGAAAGGTTTGTTGTACAAGTAATTTCACAAATTTAGAAAGAAGCTCTGAACAGGATACATTTGGTATGACATAAGATCTTAAAACTCATAGACATTACTTTGGGCAGTATGTATTTCAAACTGGCCATAATCTCCATCATTGACTGTTTTTTCTTCTGTGTATGTGATGATTACACATTCCAGTAACTCATGCAAATTATGGCTGTTTGGTCACTTGTTTCATTCTGTCCACTTCATCCATTTCAGCCATTTGGATTATCTTTGTTGGTTAGGTCATTGGTTTATTTAGACCATTAAAGTACTTTGTATCGGCTGGGCTATTTGTGCTATTCATGCTAGTTAGAATATTTGAGCCAGAAAGGTCATTTGTTACTTCAAGTAGGTCATTTGGACTACTGGATGCTAATTTACATCACTTGAATCCCTTTTACCTGTTTGATCATTTGTGCCAAATGGCTCCATTATGTTGATTGGGTCATTTGCTCCAGTTTATCTTTTAAGCAGATGTATCATTTACGTCTGCCAGAGTTTGAGGCATTTTACAAGTCGGTATAATTAAACTATTTGAGAATATCCACGATTGCATGGCTATTGATAGTTAGGTACTTTTATGATTGCCTCATTTGTCTGATCACATGCACCAGAAGACAAAAATGAGTGAATACCTTGGGATAACCAAAAAAATATATTATTGTCCTTAATACCTTGACATGCGTCTAACAATAAACAATCAATGACAATGAGTTAATACAAATTGTTGGGCTATGACCAAAGCATACAGTATGATAAGGTAATTTTACGACGAGAAAGTCAGATTTATTCATACTTCTTTCATTAAACAACCTCGATGGACCCTTTAAATTTAAGGACCTGTAATCTGAGAATGTGCAATTGGACATTGGACGATAGAAGGGGTATCCTACACTCGCTGACTTGTCAGACCTAAAAAATGAAAACTTAAGATTTCAACCCTTTGAGCCCAATAGTGTACACCTACTGAGAATGGACTGATATTTATAAGAGAAAGTCGAAGCTAACCACTCATTGGGCTTAAATTATACTGAAACAGTCAATCATCGAGGAGCAAGGTCTTACCCTATATGTATGTGCAAAGTTTAAGACCAGGGTATCAAATGAGAAGTTCCCAAAAATAGAAAAGAATATCTTTAAACATGCAATTTAACATCAAATGGAACAGCTACAATGACTTTCCGGTTACCATTTGGAGTTTTAAGATCATAGTACAGATCAGCCACAACACAAATGCTTTCAATCCTTGACACTGGCGTGAGTGCTCCCACACATTCAATTTTGAATGATGGCAAACATACTTAAATGGGCAAACCACAATAAAACCTTGAGTGTGGGTGGACTTTATGCCAATGAACACAAGCCAGCAGGTATGGGAAGTCTATAGTTTCACCACTTGGGGATCAAATAGTAAGAGTGTGCTGAAAGAAATACTGTATGATTCCTGTGTATAAAGAAGTAAACATTTTATTCTACATTCTAAATAAGATTGTTCTTACTCGTTACACTCCAAAAAAAGTTCATAGAAGATGAGTATTTAAAGCCCTCACCACCATTACTTGGCTCTGCATTTTTTCATCCTATCATGCCATTTTTTTCCAGCTATGCAAGTTTCAATTGCCTTTATCATATATCAACAAAAAGCTAATATATAGACTGAATCCTAATGAGGCAGAACCCAGAAGCCTTTGCCGACTTTTTCCGCGCCATTTCGAAAAAAACTACCCACTCTTATAATGTAACACAGAAGGGTTGGTCTGGCCCCAAAGTGTTGATAAGATGCGAATTGGTATTTTGCGACTGGGCAACAAGTAATGGTCAGCAAACAGAGGTACCATGCTTAGCAAAACAGGCTTTGCTTGGCATTTGCTTTGGTAAAATAAGACTTTTCTATTTCTGCTTGTGTAGGCGCTGGCACTTCTGGTAGTACAACTATACCCATCTCTTAAATCTGCCAAGGGCACATACATAATTGACAATGTATGGCACACAGCATCTAGTTCTCTTTTTCACTTTTACAAAGTTTTTTACACTTAGTTATTTTAACTAACTAAATTGTATAGATAGCTGGCTAAATTGCATATGTAGCAAATTTTTGTTTCCTTTTTCTGACTGGTAGCTTTATTCAAGGTTTGAAATTGTTGGTCTCAGTTCCTATTAACTCAGTGACCATTTTTTAATTCATGATGTGTAATACTTTATACTCTGTCATACATTACAAGTTTAAAATACTAAAGTATTTAGAACACTGGGAAATAGTACAAATGAAGAGCCAGGAGGCTAATTAGCTGCTAAGTTTTCAAGTCAGCTTCCATTTCACTTAAGTTACGTAAATTTATCAAATGAGGGAGAAAAGAACTATACTTAAAGAAAATAGTAATCATGATAATGATGATAATGATGAGGTAGATATTAAAGCAAATGTTCAGAGTGTTGCTCAGAGAAATTGAAGATTTTAAGTTATAATGAGTTTAGAGGGATTTTTTCATAAAGATATAGTTCCTATATAGACAACTGCTTGTTTTCCAGAGTTAAGTTAAGGTTCACATAAATTTTTCTGGGAAGCATATCTGTTGTATCCGTGAATACTACTTGGATATTGAAAATGGTTTTGAAAGGGATCCACTTAAGTAGGCCTTTGTGTCATGGATGCAAAAACTTTTCATCTATTGTGTTTATGAATAGTACAACTATATCCATCTCTTAAATCTGGCAAGGGCACATACCTGATTGACAATGTATGGCACACAGCATCTAGTTCTCTTTTTCACTTTTACAAAGTTTTTTTTCACTTAGTAATTTTAACTAACTAAATTTTATAGATAACTGGCTAAATTGCATATGTAGCAAGTTTTTGTTTCCTTTTTCTGACTGGTAGTTGTGTTTATGGTTTGAAATTGATGGTCTCAGTTCCTAGTGGCTCAGTGACCATCTTTTTAGTCATGATGTGTAATACTAATTCACTGTCATACATTAGATTTAAAATACAAATTGCTTAGAATACTGAGAAATAGTACAAATGAAGAGCCAGGAGTTGCTTGAATTAAACGAACGAGGGAGAAAAGAACTATACTAAAAGAAAATAGTAATCATGATAATGATAACGATGATAAGGCAGATATTATAAGGCAAATGTTCAGAGTGTTGCTCAGAGAAATTGAAGATTTTAAGTTATAATAAGTCTAGAGGGATTTAGTCATAAAGATTAGTTCCTGAATAGAAAACTGTTTGTTTTCCAGAGTTATTGCACACTTAAGGCTTACACAAATTTTTTTTTGGAAGCATATCTGGTGTTACATTCAACCTGCATATTGAAAATGGTTTTGGAAGGGATGCACTTAAGCGGGCCTTTGTGCTGTAGATTAAAAGCCTTTAAAGCATTGTTTTGATACACATTTACTGTTCGAATTTCTAGAGGGTTAAGCAGATGAAGGGCGTATCTGTTTGGTTATGCAATGTATCAATAACAGTGAGGTAAAACTCCCTCACATTTGTTCTAAAGTGAGCAATCTATAATTGCTAAGAAGATGCACATGTAAAATGCATCTTCTGCTCTTCTTTATCAACCAGTGTTTAGTTGCCAATGTGGCTGTCACTTAGGATTGAGATTGACAGAGTATTCTAAGGTTAATCACCATTATTCTCTGGAGGGAAATGGTAGGTAAGTGGGCACAACTCTTGCATCCCCAGCACCTGGATAAGTCACGTAAAATACCATCTTCCTTTCGTTGTATTGTGAACCTCTCAGTACCTGGCTAGAGAAGACGCTATTAAAAGAAAAAAAGGTAATTTTGCAAATCCTGAAAAGTTTCCCTCAAAAACTAACAGAACTCCTTATAAAGGTCTTTTGTAAGTAGATAGTGATTGAAATAAAATATTCTGATGGATGTGATCTTTTGGTTGGGTTGAGTGAGGAGTACTGTATGTGGCAGTGGAGGCAGATGGTGCGCCATTTGGCAAGGATGACACAGTCACTGCATACTTAGTGAGCTTTCTCAACCTGCTGAACAGAGTACAAAGTTGTGATGATAATAATTTACTCCTTGGTGCCAACTGTGAAGAAGATCATCCATTCCTAAAATCTTACTCAAATCACCCGAGGGAAGAAATGGAACAGATTGAAGAGAAGACATTGACCACTGAGATAGGAGAGCAGGTTGGGTTCAAATTTGAACTGATACCATCTGACATGAAATGGATGTCATCCCACTTACGAGAACTAAACAATTGTGCAACCTACTTTCCACCTTTTGCCAATGTTAATCAAACACACAAGGGAGCCATGGTTTTATTGGTGGCCCTAGAGCAACATGGTAACCATAGCAGTACACCGAGAGACTGGCCATCGCAGAGAAACTACAAAAGTCAGAGGAAAAACTTAAAGATCCCATGGGCAAATAAAGAAGTCATATTACAAATTTATTGCTCA